CATAAGACTGTCAGCCAATTTCTCAAAAGAAACTTTGTAGGCCAGAAAGAAGTGGCAAGAGATATTCAGAGTGATATAAAGCAAGGACCTACAACCAAGATTACTCTATCCTGCAAAGCTATCATTTAGAATTGATGTACATATAAAGAGTTTCCCAGACAAGAAAAAGCTAAAGGAGTTCATCACCACCAAACCAGTATTATATGAAATATTGAAGGGTCTTCTTGAAGGAGAGGAATGAAAATATGAACAATAAAAAGGCAATATCTATCAACAATTGAATCTACAAACAAAATGAGCAAACAGAACAGAAACAGACTCATAGACACAGAGAACTTTTTGTTACTTGCCATATGGGAGGGGGGTTGGGAAGATGAGTGAAGAAGATGAAGGAATTAAGCAGTACAAATTGGTTGTTAAACTGATGAACCTCAAAGGGAAGAGGGGGCGCAGGATGAGATAAACTAAAGAACTTCTATGCATATATGCATAACCAATTTACACAAACAATAATGTGGAGAAGGCATGGGGGGGCGGGATTGGGGAGGAAGGAGTCAATGGGGGGGAAGGGGACATCTGTGATACATTCAACAATAAAGATATGTTTTAAAAAATGAAAACAAAATATAAGAAATATATAAAATAAAATATAATATGTAACAAAAGATTACATATAGTTTTTATTTTTGAATGTAAAATAATATAAATAATATTTAAAAATTAAAAGAGTGCATTTATTTAATAATGAGACACAACATGATCCTTGAAAAAACAAAAACAATTCAATCATAAACAGAAACCAGGCAAGTATTTTCCTTATCAACATTATCACATTAAAGAATGTTGCAGAGTAATAAAACATATATAGATACAGAAGAGAAATTACACACATTTACATGCAGTCATACAACTAAGACAAAGAGTGAACTTGATCAAATAAAAAGATTGTGAATTGGAAAAAGAAAGTCAATCTGCAAAGTGATTGAGAGTCTTTGGATTTAGATACAGCTGGCTTACAATCCTGGCTTCAGCATTACTGGTCATGCGAACATAACCTCCCCAAGCCTCAATTTCGTCATTTGTAAAATGGGTATAATAAGGCCCACCTCCCAAAGTTGTTATGAGCATTATGTGAAATATTGTCAAATGCTTAGCACAGTACCTGGGACATAGTAATCACTCTAATTATAGTCCATATGTTCTTTAATCACTATGCTGATCACTCTCTACCATTTGGTAATAATAATATTATACAAGAAACATGTATAATAACCAAGCAGCATTTATCTATACCACTAATTATCAACTACAAAAATCTATTTAAAAAGAGTCTTCTTCATAAATAATCAAAAATATACATCATGTACAACGTACCCCAATAAAAGAGATGGGAGACCTATCAAAAGAACTTTAAATCTTTTAGAGGAAAAAGAAAGAAATACCTAAATTAACAGAGGGACAAATCATGTGCCTGCATGAGAACAAAATGTTTGCAAATTAAATAATTTTAAAATCTATAAGCTACAACAAACAAAACTTGGACCGTTCTGAATCCATTGTAGCTATTACAATGAAAATGTATAAAATGGTGTAAATTGCACTTAGAGAATTGGGTAAATAACAGGCAAACTGGAAAAGAATGGAATCCTTGAATCCTAGGTCATCTAATCCAGCAGGGGATGGAGACCCACAGAGGATGAGGGACATGTTCAAAGACTCCATTAATTGGTGTCTGGACTGGAACATGAACTCAAATTTCCTGACTTCTTGTCTAGTTGTTTTTCCATTAGTTTACACTGAATCTTTGCATCTAGGATGAAATGAATATGCTGAAAAAGAAGAGCGACGAGGGAGAAGTAACCCCGCTGCACACTGGAACATATGACAAGGCAGCAGCAATAAAAACGATGCAGTTCTGCCCTGGCCAGTTTGGCTCAGCGGTTAGAGTGTCGGCCTGTGGTCCAGAGAGACAGACCCGGGTTCAGTTTCCGCTAAGGGCGCGTACCTCGGTTGCAGTTTGTCCCCGGCCCTGGTTGGGTCGTGTGGGTGGCAACCGCTCAATGTGTTCCTTTCACGTCGATGTTTTTCTCTCTCTCTCCCTCCCTCCCACTCTATCTGAACAAAAAATGGAAAAATGTCCTTGGGTGAGGATTAAAAAAAACAAAAATAAAAACGATGCAGTTCTGATCAGAATGAAACAGACTCGAAGGCTCAGAGCTAGTCTTTGGAATGTATAAAAAAGAATGTAGTATATCCTTATCTAAGCCACAATATAGCAAGAAATATAAATACTGTTAAAATGTGATGGAGGCAACAGGATCTTAAATCTTCAAATACCTGTATGTTAATTTTAGAGGTATTAGCAAAATAAATATAAATAGATCAAACTATAGATTCATAGAAATTAAACTTGCTATCCCAATTAAAGAGAATTAATAGTTTTATAATGATCTAAATAATGGAAGACTTCTCAAAGGAAAAAATAGGCAAACATATTAAAATTTCGATTTCTCTAAAATAACACAAAATTTGTTTAAAAGCAAAAAAAAAATGATAGAATGAAAAACAGAAAAATACCACCAACAGTTATTATTTATAGAGTTTATATACATTACCAACAAAAACAAACAAACCAACAAAACACCCCAAGACCCAAATGGTAATTCACCCAATAAGGGGTGGGGGGGAGGATATAAATATTTAAAAACTTAAAGTTTGAGCTTGCTTGCTAGCAAATTAGTTGAAGTTATAATGACGTGGCATTTCACGCTTATACTAATAATACATTTTATCTGTTATTATTATTGATTATCTCATTCTCACTGTATTCTGGCCAATAAGGAGCAAAAGCCAAGCCAAGCCTAGTGTGGGCGGTTCTCAGGAGAAAGGCTGTCTTCGCAGGGAGCTTTATACTTCGGAGGCAATTTCGTCAATGCAGATATTTCTGCACCTAGACCCTGTGACTCTCAAGCCTGAGAATTTATCCCAAGGAAATAAATTAAAGGAATAAATAAATAAACTACAGCCCTGGATGGTTTTGCTCAGTGGTTAGAGGGTTGGCCTGCAGTCCGGAGAGGCCCGGGTTCGGTTCCCGCTAAGGGCACGTACCTCGGTTGCAGTTTGTCCCTGGCCCTGGTTGGGTCATGTGGGTGGCAGCCACTTGATGTGTCCCTTTCACATTGATGTTTCTCTCTCTCTTTCTTCCTCTCTCTCCCTCCCGCTCTATCTGAATAAAAAATGGAAAAATGTCCTCGAGTGAGGATAAAAATTAAATAAATAAATAGATAAATAAACAAACTACAAGTACAAAGCTGTTCATAGTAGGGTTCTTCATTGTAGTTACAAGAACTATACACATCTGAAATACCCAACAATATATACAGCAATACAAAAGGATAGTATGCACCTATTAAATTATAAATATAAGAACGAGTCAAAATATATGAAATTAGTTATGAAATAACTTTTTTTTTTGTACGTGCCCCTAGCAGGAACCACACCCAGGACTCTCTGGTCCGCAGGCGATGCTCCAACCACTGAGCCAAACTGGCCAGGGCTGAAATAACTTTTAAAAAGTAGGAGTAGGGCCCTGGCCGGTTTGGCTCAGCGGTTAGAGCGTCCGCCTGTGGTCCGGAGAGACCCGGGTTCGGTTCCCGCTAAGGGCATGTACCTTGGTTGCAGTTTGTCCCCGGCCCTGGTTGGTCGTGAGGGTGGCAGCCACTCGATGTGTCCCTTTCACATCGATGTTTCCCTCTCTCTCTCTTCCTCTCTCTCCCTCCCACTCTGTCTGTACAAAAAATGGAAAAATGTCCTCAGATGAGGATTAAAAAAAAAAAAAAGTAGGAGTAGGAAGTTATATTTACTATCAAATTAGTTGTGAAAAAATTATAAATATGGGTAAATACTGGAAAAAAATAAAAATTGTTGCTTTTTCAGAATTTATGGAGTTATGGGTGAAACTTTAAGGTGAATATTTACCTAGTATTTTTAATCTGTTTTCATAAACAAGTTAAAAATTAAAAGCAGAACGGTATATAATAATTTTTCCAAAAATTTATTCTAAAGATGGTTAATTTTTAAAAAAAAATAGTACTTTAAAATATTGTTGGCTTAGGGTGATGTACAATGCAATATACAGATGATGTAGTATAGAACTGTACACCTAACCTATATAATTTTATTAACCAATGTCACCCCAATACATCCAATATAAAGGAAAATAATACAATAATTAATAAATAATACAAAGATTTTAAAACTGTTGGAAATTTTACTTCCGGGAATCTTCTTGTTAATGTTGACTCGGTAGGTGTTAGTTGCTATATTTCAGACCAGGGTCTTCCAACATGGTTGGTGGCACCCTGGATACATACGCCCATGGGACAATCCTTAAGCAGAAGGCTTCTATGCTGAGACTAACTACAGGTAGCATGAGATATGAGGTATCGGGAGAGGTGAGCCAGAGATGGGGGCATCAGGGGGACAAGATCCAAAGTCTCATTTTTCAGAAGACGAGTCTGGCAGCAGGGCTGGGTGGGGACTTATAGTCATCAGGAGGGAAGGGTTGGGGTTTGGACTTTGTGGTGACAGCAGATTAGAAAGCAAGAGATGACTTGGATGTCTTGGAAAGAGGAACTATTCTATTTGGGTGGCTTCCTGGGTGTAAAAGAAAAAGGAAGTGTCAAAAGTTCGGGCCTGGGTCACCTTTCCAGGCCCACTTGGTGCTAACAAGGCTCCAGAAGGCTGGCAGGGTCTAGAAGGAGGGTTGGTTGGAAGGAGACAAGTTTGGAGGTTCTCCTAGTGGGCAGGAAATATGGTCTGATTAATTTATTCATCTGCAAATATTTACCAAGGGCCTGCTCTGTGTATGGTCCTCACTCACCACTGGGACAGATAAAGGCTGTGACATGAAATCTAGTGTTTACAGTTTCGCCTTCCTTGATCGGGCAAATATGAGCCAGGCCTGGCCTGAGGAGAGCAGAGGCCCCAACCCCACCTACCTTTTTCCTGCTCAGCTGCTTCACTAAGTTCTGGAAGCTTGAGCCCCACTAAGTTCTGATTCCTCATCAGGATGTGCTCCTTTTTAGAAAAAGCAAAAGACCACAGCATTTCAGATGAGACAGCAGGCTGGACTCTCTTCTCAGTTCTGTCTGTGGCTCTGTGGCCACTCCACCTAACGTGGGAGACACCAGGGTCAGCCTCCAAAGTGGATGGGCAGGCATAACAAGGTGACATTGGAGGGCACAGGAGGACAGCCCTCTCCAGCCCACAACTCTGCCTGAAGCCCACCCGTGGCACCACATTCCTTAAGTTAAGAACCATCTGCTCTTTCAGTCAGCCTGTGGGCCTCAGAGTGAATGAGCTGCCAGCCATCCTGGGGCTGAGGCTGGAGGACAAACAGAAGCAGAGCCCAGGGCTCTGGGGATGGGAGGGTCCCCTGGATGTGTGTGGCTGCCACCGGAAACAATCTTTGGTGAGGTCGTGGCCGCGCTCCGGCTGCTGCAGCTTCCTGCCCTGTTGTCCTAGGCAGTGAGTGCCCACTTCCAGGAGCTGTGGGCTCTCGGTGGTCTGCTCCGACCTCTCTTGAGCTGTTACACTTGCCAGACAAATGAGGCCTGAGACTTGCTGCCTCGAGGCAACAGGCTCAGCAGCCACTGCCCTTCCTGGGGCCTCAGCGGGCAGCCCGGGGGAGAGGTGGGGATTCTGACCACAGTCTGCGGCACAGGTCAGCTCACACCTGTGAAGACTTGCAGGGGTATCGGGTGGGGGTGGCCTATTGCCTGGGCCTGCCCTGCCTTCATTGCCAGAGGCCCATGAAGGCAAATACCTGGCTGTGTTGGCACCACCTTCCCCAGAGATCTGGGACTGTGCCCCACAGGCAGCCCGGAAGCCCTTCCAGGCCTGTGCTGACCCACTAGTCAGTGAGGCCTTTCCGACTGGGTGGGGTTCTCTGTGTGAAATGTTAACAGCAGCAGCCAGCCCGAGCCTCCACATCAGCATCGTGGAAGGTTTCTGAATAGGGCAGTGGTCAGCACAGAGTGTCTGCCGGCACAGAAACCTCCCGCTATGCTGGCTGCTGGCGGTGCCTCCATTCCTGCCCTGCCCCACGCCCCTCCATAGAGGGGCCAGGAGGGTCTTGTCCCGCTCAAGCTGTGGGAGTGCCACGTCCTGCCCTGTGGGGTCCTGGCTGCCTTGGCCTGTGGCCTGGGTTGGCCCTCTGGAGAAGAGGGGGCTGGATAAAGACTTCTTTGTCCTGTTGACCTCTTCTGTCCCTCACACTCGGGTCTCCCTCCCCTCCATCTCTGGACACCCCCAATCAACCCCTGCATAGGGTGGCAGCCCCATCAAAGAGCACTGTGCCTGGTTTGAGGGCCAATGAAAACTGGGGGATGCTGGGAGAAATTCACCACAGTGGGGGCAGCCCCTCATGGCCATTATCATACTTGGGGATGGATTTGAGGGCCTTTGTTAACAGCCGTCAGGAAGGAAAGCTTGGGAGCATGATAAAGAAAAAGCATTCCATGCTTGCCTAACCCAGTCCTAGGCATGACAAGGCACTCCATCATGGGCTTCCTGTTTATGAGCTACCAGCTCCAGCTGGAGGGGGAACAGCCCAGGGCTGAGGGCCCTGGTGCCTCCCTACAGCACCTCCCCCTGAAATGTGGCGTTGGGTGGCAACCGTATCCCACGCTGACCCCCTTAGCAAGTGGGGTAAGAGCTGCTGCACAGTGGACCTGCTCAATCAGGGTAGGGAAGTTTCGGGCCTCATAAGGCCCAAGTCCAGGCCAGAACTGTCCTGCCCCAGGGCCCAGCTCAGCCCAGAGGTCTTCCTCCCAGAGGGGAACCAGAGTGCACACCCCACCCCACTGCCCCCCAGTAACCCACCTCACGGAGCTTGGTCAGTTTCTGCATCCGCACAGGCTGCACTTGTATCTGTAAGTCTTTGAGTCCAGGCACCTTGGCCAGCTTGCTGCTAGCTTTGCCCGCAGAACGCTTCTCTTCCTCGGCCAGGGGCAGCTTGGCAAGCACTTGCTGCAGCCGGGGGCCAGGCTCTTCAGGGCCGCTGTCCCAGGAGACCCCCCGGAGCAGGGGCGGCCGGGAAGGAGGGGGCCGAAGCTCGGCTTTGGAGCCAACCTTGGGCCCTACTGGCTCTCCAGCTGGGCCTTTTCCCTGGGGGCCCGGGGGCGCTGCCCCTCCCGAGCCCTGGGCTGGACTTCTGGGCAGAGGGTTGCCCTCCCTGGCTGTCTTCAGGAGCGGCTTGTCCAGCTCGCTCTCAGCAGGGCCAGGCTGGGGGCTGTTCAGAGCCATTTTCCCACCACTGCCTGAGCCAGAAGGTGGGCCCTTGGGTGTGGCCTCGGGGCACTGGAGGGGATCAAAGTTTTCCTTTTGTTCTATTGCAATCTCTTTGGACTTCTCAACTGTGGGAGAGCGAGGAGTCAGCCTGCCCTGAGACACTTTCCTCTGGTCATTTTGCTTCCGGTCAGCTAGCCCTTTGGGGATATTCTGAAAGAGACAAGGAAGAGCTGAGACCCTGGAGGCAGGTTGGGGAGGAGACAGGTGGGACCCTTCTGCTGTGGGGCCTCTGACCCATCGACCCTGCTGAGGGGTGTGTGAGAGAGAGTATGTGTGTGTGTAGGGGGTGAGCTCGGTGGAAGTCTGAGCCAGGGAAGAGGACCCCCAGACAAAGCCTAAGGTTTGTAAAATACCCAGGACAAGGAACCTGCCATTCAAAACTTGCCAAGAACTTCTGAAGGGCTAGGAGCGGGAGAGAAGTCTGGAACAGAGGACAGCTTGGGGGCAGTCCCATGTTTTGCCTTGACTCAGTTGCCCCAGATTCTAGTCCTGGCTCTGCCTGGCAAAGCCCTTCACTTTTAGGACTCAGATTTCCCATCAGGCTTGTGAACCCTCTGAAATGATATGCAAACATATATGCGTGTGTGTGTGTGTGTGTGTGTGTGTGTGTGTGTGTTGTATTTTTCTGGGAAGAGATTCCACAGCTTTTAACAATTTCTCAGAGTTCCATAATCCAAAAGAGGCTACGAATAGTCAGACGAGGCGATTCGTGCAAAGGTGATACCTTACTGCTCAGCAGTTCACGCTCCTTCCGTTGCCCAAGGGACACCAGTTTCGTGAGGAGCCTGCAGCTCTGCGTCTGGACATTTGTGTGGCTGTCGCACCTGCACTGAAACTCTCCCCGAGGACTAACCCAGACCCAGTTCTAGATGAGACTAGTGTATGCTGCCCTCAACACCCTTGAGCACTTTCCTCTGAGCAGGTGTGAGGGAAAAGGGGGTTTTCCTGGAGGCCAGGGGCGGGAACCCTCCTGTGAGCTTCATGAGGGCAGCAGACTTGCCTGGCTCCTGCTGGGCCCGGTGGTCCGCCTGGTCTCTGGCCAGCAGCCTGGCTAGGGTGCAGGGTCCAAGGCAGGCCCACCATGGAGGTCACCCCATGGAATCCTGCCTCCTCACACCCCCGCCTCAGACTTCCTGTCACCATAGGGCAGAGCAAGCTTCTCGCTTCCCTAGCCTTGACTCCCCCCTCGTGCACACCCTCTCACCGGCTGCCCAGGGCCAGCTGGCGGCTGGGACACTCTCTCCCACACCCAAACTGGGCATAGCTCAAACTCACAGGCTCGCCAAAGTGAGGTGAAGGGACTTCGGCCTCATCCTCCTTCTCCTGGAGAAATGCAACAAGAGTCCGTCAGTAATGTGGCTGACTCTGGAAATACCCTCAAGGAGGTATTTATAGTGTAGGTGCCTCCCCCACCCCGCACCCTCGCTTCAGTGGGTCGTGAAGGGCCTCTCGGGGTTAAGGGGTGAGAGGAGAGACATTTGGTGTAGAAAACCCAAGAAGGGCCCGATACCTGTGCGGGTACTCCAGGCGGAGGGGACTGTGGGCCACTGCACGCATCCAAACCTGGAAGGGTCCAGACACAGGTGAGAGCCGCCCCGCCCTCAGCTGTTCCTCTAGCAACGCCCGTCTGCCCCCAGAACGCCCCCCCTCAGCCCCGCAGGCCTGGGAGCCGGTGGCGCCAGCCTCGGGAGTGCCTCTCACATGCCAGGTTCTGGGGTGAATCCTCATGTAATCATCACACAAACCACCTCAGGAAAATGAGGCAGAGGGAGGTCAAGGGATCTGAACCCAGGCCTCCCCTCAGCTCTCCCTGGCATCCTCCTTCCCCTGCTGGTCTGGGGGTGTAGCCCAGAACACAGCCCAGTGAAAGGAAAGAAACCAAAAAGCCAAAGTGGCCCAAATGGAGGCCTTTCCAAATAAGCTCTGAAATGGCCTCTCTCTGATTTCTCTCAGGGCAGAGAACGCAAGTCATGGCCCCCTCCCCACCACCTGCCTCATCCTGGGCCGGACCTGTCCCCCCACCTTAGCTCAAACCCCAACGTCACATATAGCTGCTGCCTCAGGCAGCCTAGCCAGGCCCAGCTGGGAACCCTGGGGACAGGGCCAAACAGGGGGTCTGCGTGGGAAGCCTGCAAGATGAGCAGTCCGTGGTCAGGCCAGGGGAGGGGCTGAGCGGCCACCCACAGGGAGAAACAGGGCGGGACATGCCGAGGGGCTGGACCTCACCAGGCAGCGTGGGGACAGTGAGTGAGCTGCTCCGTGAGGTTGTAGGAGAAGCTCCGGGGCTGAGGTTTGGGGAAACCGCTGTTGAGACAGACACAAATTGGCCAGCATTCGTGAAGGCTTAGGATTTCAGCTTAACAGAAACATTCTTGCAGGTGCTCCTGACCTCTGGGAACTAGATCCGACGCGCTGAGGTCAGGGGCTGATTCTGGATTGCCATTAAAAGACCCTCCCACAGCCCAGTGCCCCCCTGCTGCCAGCCCGACATAGGGACACCGGGTCATTTGCAGGGGCTGTACCTCCTAGACTTGACAGGATGCCCTGATTTCAGAAGCTCCTGAATACATTGCTGCCTGAGTACATTCAGACTTGTCTAAACCTTGCCTCAACTCTTTGCTCAGGAAAAAGAGTGATTTTAGCCAAAGGTGTAGCAGGGTGGATTTCAGGGCCCAAGAAAACCTTCCTTCTAATTCAGAAATTCCATGAAGACACCAAAGACCTCCTCTCCCTCCCCAGTGCCGAGCATCCTTTCGGGGCCCCGCAGCTGGAAATCAAGGAGCGGGATCAAGTGCTGACATTTCTTATAGAAACAGGAAGCCGCAACAGTCACACAGGCCAGAACACCAAAAGCAGAGTTTGGGGGCCAGAGATGGGTCAGTATTTTGGAGCTTCTGAAATGGGGGAAGATGTCCTCTCCTTACCAGATCCTCTCCATAAGGCTCTGTCCTCCTGGCCTAGAGGCCTGGGGACAGGCAAGTCAAAGGCCACCCCTTCATAGCAGGGCTCCCCATGAAGCTGGGGCCTGGCCCTCCCCCGCCCAGCCCTCCTCAGAGGGGCTCAGGGCAGCCCATGTACATCCTACCTGACGGGGAGTCTCCGGGGCTGCTCCTGGACCTCCTCCCCCGGCGGGTCAGGAACCGCTCACTCACTAACTTGGCCTCCTCCAGCAGTGCCAGGTTCTTCTTCTTGTCCTCCTCTGAGATGCTGATGTCTGGCAGCTGGTCATTTAGCAGGTCAATGACATGCCCCGCAGGGTCTGCAGAGGGAGGGTGAGCACAGGGTGAGAGCCCCTGCCACTCCACATGCCAACCCAGGGGCGCTGCCTGGAGCAGACGGCCAGCCAACCCTCGGCCCAACGCTGGGCGATGCAGAGGGCTGTGTGGGGGCAGACCAGGCTTCCTCGGCAGGTTTGGCCCTCCTGGCTTGTAGCCTGCGGCTGTGGCAGGTCAGGACGCCACCTAGGTTGCCAGCACTGTGCACTCTGCTATGAGGGAAGGCAGCAGGAGCCCCGCCTCCATGTATCGGCCCCTCCTGGAGTGCGCTTCCTTCAGGTCTGTGTCTCCAAGCTAGGAGCTCAAGGAGTGTGGGCAAAGGGAGCACCGAGATCAGGTGCCAAAGACTCAGTCCCATGGCCATCTTTGCGCCCTTCTTCTCTCTGCTCACCGTTCACTCCATCTTTCTTCAAAACTGCCCCTTCTCTGGGTGAGTGACACCTCCCCTCACCCAGCTGCTCAGAAACATGGGAGTCACCCCACACTCCTCCCTCTTCCTCATCCCCCACATCCAACCAACTGACCATCAAGTCCTGACCATCAGGTCCTGACCATCAAGTCCTGACCATCACTTATGCTGTGGGTACCTGTCTCTGGAACGTGCCCGCCACCCCCCTCCTTGCTCCTGAGCTCTCACCTGCAGTTACATCAGCCACTTTATAGCCCCGCCCACCTGCAGGTCCCCCTCCATCTCATCCTCCTCGGCCTACCACAGCGACCTTGCTAAGAGCCGTACCTGACAACGCACTCTCCTGCCTCACCTTATCGGGGTTCCTCATGGAACGATGCCCAAACGCCAGACTGGGCCCGGCCACTTCTGCTGACCCCTGTACTCCTGAGGCCACGCCCCTGCAGCCCCTCGGTGGGGACCGGCTCCCACGTGTGTCTCCCGCCTGCATTCCCCTTTCTGCTCTTCGTAGCTCCCCAATCTGCACTGAGTGAAGTCCCTCTTCGTCTCAATTGTTAGTCAGAAAGGAGCTGCTCCCACTGCCCACCTCACTCCAGGTGCCAGGAGTGGGCCTGTGCACCAGCCTCGGCCCGTCAATGACCTCAGTGCCCCGGCCGCCGTGACTGGCTCCCGGACGGCCGTGGGAGGTCAGTGAGAGGCAGCCTTGGGAATTGTTGGGTAACGTGGAAGGGGAGCTCCTTCCAGGGAAGGGAGGTAAGCCTGGCGTTGGTAGCCATTTGCCAAGAAGAGAGGAGACTTGAGCGATGGGATGAGACAATTACTAATGGTACAGCTTGGGCATCTGGATTCAGCACCACCTGAAACCACAGCCCTGGCTTTTATTCACTTTCCTTTTGGGGTGTCTAGGCTAGTTTGAGTGGGGTTTCTATCATGTGAGAGCCCTGACTGATACGCATGACTGAACATTCAGTTGCTCCGTTACGGCTTCTGCTCCCCAGCATGTTGCTGCTTCGCCCTGGAAGGCAATGCCTGTCCTCCCTCTTGTCTATCCCCCCAGCTTGCTGAGGTGTGACTCAGACACTCTCCTCTGGAATACTTGTCTGAACTGCCCCCTCCCCAGGGAGAACTGAGCCCCTTCATGCCTCCGTTTCCTTACACTCCTGTAAAGAGCCTTAAATTCAGGGTCCTGATTATATCTGTTCACGTCTCAGTCTCTTCGCAGATGATGAGCAACATGAAGGCAGGGCCAAGTCTGCGTCATGTCTGTGCTCAGGGCCCAGAGCAGGTTGAGGAACTACTTGGGGCAGCCTTGCATTCGAGCACCTGCCTACCTCAGGCACTCCCTGAGCCCCAGATCGAGCCTCACACAGCCGTTCTGTCTTTGACTTCCTCATCTTCCTCTTCACACCCTGGTCTTGTCTTTTTACCAAAAGAAACTGAGATGAGACATCACACTTCTTTTGGGCACCGACCCTGAGGGGCTGATGGACTGTCCTGTTGGGCTCATGGGGATGGACCTGGCTGAGGAGCATGGGAGGGCCAGGGGCCCGGCCCGGTCTAACAGCCAGACCTCACTCAGTCTTTCTACCCAAACACACCTTCAGCGGGGCCCCTAGCTCTAGTTGCAGATGCAGGATAGGTTGGCCCTTACCCACGGAGGTCAGCGAAGCCGTAGAAACCTTCAAGTGTCGGTGAGAAAGCCTCCGGTGGGGACTGTGAGCTCTGGAAGAAAGGAGCCCTCTTGTTAGGAAAATGTGTGCACAGCTTGGAAGTAGACAAACACACGCCTGGCTGCTTTTCCAAAGGCACACGAGAGCATCCTCTTACAAGCTTCCTAAGTCTGGGAACTCATCAGAAATGAGAATTCTCAGGCTCCACCCCAGACCCACTGAATCAGAAACTGGGGTGAGGCCCAGCCACCCGTGATTGCCAGGCTCCCCAGGTGTGTCTGCAGCTGATGTTCCCAAACCACTGCCCCGGTGAGCTGTCACTTTGACTACTTGCTGTTTGCTAGGGCCCAGATTGAGTGAACATCTAACTTCTGAAAAACTCCTAACATGCAAAGAATTGTTGTCTAGTAGAGATGCAGATGATTTCTGCTTAGGAGAGAAGATAAAAATATGACTTCATTGCCCTGTAGAACATTAACCTGTTTTATAGCTAACTTAGTAATTTTATTCCAACATCCTTTTCTTCCCCAGTGATTATATATGTATATCCATTTCTTACACCCTCCTTGGAGCTGGCTTTGTTACCCTGATGGGTCTCTCATTAATGAGTTAAATACATCTCTGATACATGCTCACTCTATATTTGTATGAGAATTATCTTTGTAACATTTTGGAAATTATACACCCTCATTCTAGCTAGACTAATGCATGGGCAGGTGCTGTGTAAAACCCCCAAGGCAGTGACGTTCCCGTACATGTGGCCAAGGTCCCTTCCAAGACATCATCTTCCATCCAGGACCCTCTCTGGCCAGGGGCAGGATGCTACAGTCAAAGGCTCACATCCTTCAGGTCTATTTGGACATATCTAGGCATTTATTACAGGAAACTCCTCTGCTATATTTGCACTTTTCTTAAAGGCTAGCAGAGTGCAAAGTGCCAAATCCAGGAGAGGAAAACTAATTTTGGGGGGGTGGGGGAGGGATAATGGAAAAAAATCCCAAGCTCTCTCTCACATTTTGAAAAGTTGCATAAGTGTACTTTCATCAATAAAATGATTCAAGAAAGAAGGAAAGATTTATAAAAATACAGCTGTCTAATCCCTGGGAGCCAGGAAATATTGTTCTTCACGGCACAAAGATCAGGCACTTGGGATGTACCTGTTGGCCAGGTTTTTGTCAGTTTCTCCTTCCGGTGAACTGGCATCCCCAGTCAGGACGATGGCGGGAGGGCCCTGGTGGTTTAGAACAAAAACACAGGTCAAGTTAGGCTTGGGATGGAGGAAGCTTCCAGGAGCTAGAGTATTTATTCCAGCATCGTGACGCTCAGAGCCACCTTGATAAGGGGACAAATGTAGTTTATTTGGATTATTTAGAGAAAAATAGATATAGGCAGTTTCCCCTTCATTCCCCAGCAGGCATCCACCTGAGCTTAATGTTAGCTTAATGCACTAACATTAGGGAACGTCTAAGCCATCCGTGGTAGCAATCTAGGAAGTTACTGACCGTCTGGGAAGGTGTGGCGCGTGCTCAGGCTGCGGTCAGCCTGGTGGGGGAAAACGGAGGTCAGGAGAAGAGGGGGTAGCACCCAAACATTCCTGGTATTCAGTGACGGCCCTACATTTCGGTAAATGTGCTAAAAATTCCTCCACCCATGTCATCTTTTTTCTTTTTAAACCACTTTATTAAGGTATGACTGATAGACAACAATCTGTACATATTTATACAACTTCATGAGTTTACAAGTACACACCTGTGAAATCCTTACCACCATCTATGACATAAGCCTACTCATCACTTCCGAAAGTGTCCTCTTGCCTTTTATTTATGATGATCATGACGACAAGAACACTGATAAGATCTGCCCCCTCAGCAAATTTTTAGGTACGCAATACAGTATTGGTGACTCCAGGCACCCCGGTCTCTAGAATTTACTCATCTTGTACAAATCCCACATTCTTCTTCATGGAGCTGCTTTCTTCCGTGGCCTCATGGGTGACGGTACCACAGGAATGTCCACCGAAAGGAACCCCAACAGCTTACAGCATGTGTGAGGTTCCTCCCTGGGTGGAGTTTATTTTGATCATGAAAGTTTGAGCTCAGAATATATTCATGTTTGTCATATTTAGAGTTTTTTCCCTGTATGAATCCTTTGGTGAACAAGAAAAAAGTTACTTTGGCTAGACTATCATTTTCATGCTGGTTATATCACAAGGTTCCTGCCATGCCTTGGAGAGGGGCTCTTACAAATTCCCAGCATGCTTTGGGGAAGAGGGTTTCGGTCTACACAAAGGAGCAGGAGAGGCCACTCATCAATTTCTTCATGTTGTGTTCTGGGAAAAAAATCATGGTGGCAGTGTTGGGGTTATGCTATATACCCACGTCTAAGAGTTGACTATATTCAGGCTGCTAAGTAAGTAAAATACAGTTTATTTGTTTTATTTTATTGACACACTACCAATTTCGTAAAGCAAGTTGAACTAACCAGCAATAAAATATAAGATATAAAAACATGAGACTATAAAAATGTGGGAATGACTTGGTCAATATAAACATCATAGCAGATAAAGAGAAATGCATGCTCCTTGACCACCCAGGGTTCGACTCTGAAGTTCAGCAATTTAACCTGAGACCCAGTGAAGCTGTGATCCGTGTGGTCCCGACTCTAAGAAGGATAGCTTTTTTTTAATCCTCACCCAAGGACATTTTTTTCATTTTTTGTTAAGATAGAGTGGGAGGGAGAGAGAGGAAGAGAGAGAGAGAAACATCGATGTGAAAGGGACACATCGAGTGGCTGCCACCCGCACAACCCAACCAGGGCCAGGGACAAACTGCAACCGAGGCACGTGCCCTTAGCGGGAACCGAACAGAGGTCTCTCTGAACCGCAGGCCGACGCTCTAACCGCTGAGCCAAACCGGCCAGGACTAAGAAGGACAGCTTTAAAGAACTGTTCAGCTGACAAAAACAACCAATGCCAAAAGAACCTGTCTGCACTCTCACCTCTCAAAGGACTTGAAGGGGAACGAATCCTACTCCCATCTTTGCCTGTTCTTTCCCCTTTGACTCTTCACTTGCTTACCCTCCCCACCCAAATCCTCTCTTCTTCCTTCTCTCCTTCCCTCCCTCCTTCCCTCCTCAGCTTACTCATGCTTCATCCAATTACTTATTGAGCAGATTGTCTTGATTCTTCCTTTTATGATCAACTCACAGAAGTTTTCAAAAGTCTTTGGGTTTAAGAGAGGGGTCGCTCTGTAAACATTCTTACATTAGCCTGCCTCATTCTGCCCACCTGGCAAATAGTTACTGAATGCCTGCTATGTGATGGGTCTAAGGGAGGAGGGCCTGGGACGACAGGTAAACCAGGCAGCCTCTGAAAGGCTTCCCAGTTAGCACAAGGGGGTGGAAAATAGGGCGGAAGTACCCTTCCCGCAACTCCCACCCCCAGGTGGCACCCAGGGCCAGGTGAGGTCAATGCCTATGAGGTCAATGGCCTGCAGGGCACTGGGGGCTGCTTTCTGGTGAGTTTTCTCTGCCTTCTGTGTAAAGGCCACTTGCAGCAAAGCTCTCCTGAGGTGGTTACTGTGCCCGGGGCTGCAGGTACCCACATTCAGAGGAGGGTTGGGGCAGGTGCCCACACAGAAAGACGGAAAGAGACCGTGGGTGGCAAGTGCCAAGCATGTAAGCACACACTTTTTAGCTGCTTAAAAGCCAGGAGGCATGAAGCAATCAGAGAGAAATCTTTTATCCCTGATGGAATGTCCTGGAGTACTCCTCACTCTCTCCTTCCAATGTGCACAAAATCCACAGTCATAAAATCAAAGTGTTCTCTCCCTAATCGCCTCACAGAATGCTTGGACAAGTTCTGTACCACTTCCAGTTTTTCTCAGAACTCTTTTGAGGGGAACATTCAGTCTCTGGGGAGACAGGAGAGAATGTGGGGAGATGCAGTGCCCTCTGGGGCGAATCCCTGCTCCCACTCTGCGCTTTCAGAGGCAGGACCCGAAGAAAGCTGGCAGGACAGCACCTCCAAATACAGAACCCCGGGCAAATCACAGCTTCAGGACTGCAAGGGCCTGGGCCTTGGGAGCCACACTGACTCGGGATACAGCTTCTCACCTACCAGCTGTGTGAACCTGAGCAAGTCCCCTCGACTCTCTGTGCCTCTGTTGCTTCATCTGTAAAATGACTGTGTCACAAGAATCAAACAGGTTGATGTAGAAATAGGATCGCCAGATAAAATACAGGATGCCCAGTATGCAAGTAAACACCGAATACTTTCTTAGCATGAGTATGCCCCAAATACGGCACGGACATAGGACATAGGTGTGTTCTCCTTTGATAAACCTGGCCGCTCCAGATGGCAAGTCTAGGGGGCACCTGGCCCCAGGAAGTGCTCAGCAAGAGCCAGGAGTCATTCTACTACTCTTCCCTCTGGGACTGAATTTATCACTTTAGAATTGGGTTTTGAAGAGACTGTCCTTCTTAGTTTTGGGTCTGAGCAATCATTTGGAGTTAAATGGGGGGGCCCAGCCTTTCAGGGGGAGCCACAGAGCACCTTCACCAGGCACCTGACCACTCAGCCTGCGTAACAGTGGCTCCCAGGGAAGCCCACCTCCAAGGTCACCTCCCCCTGGCTCCGCATCCTCTCACATTGCCTGCTTCTCAGACTGAGAGCAGATGCCCTTTGTGGGTTTCAGACAAGAGAAGCCAAGGAACAAATGTGGGTAGAAGGACTGACACTCCCTCAGACCTGCTGTGTGCACGCCCCACCCCGACTCTTCCCGTGTGCCTTCTCATTCAACCCGACCAGCAATTCTGTGAATGAACCTCAGAATACGTGGCTGCAGCTGGGGGGGGGGGGGTGATACCGCCAACCGCATGGACTTGTGAAGGGGAAATGAGAGAGAGGGAACGCCCTGAGTGTGAAGTAGGTGATTGGTACATTTCTTTTCTCCTCTCTTTCCCATTTCAATCCCTCCCTTACCAAAGAAAAACAGACCTGCGCAGGGCTGTGCAGGTGTAGATGTGGAAGGGGCTAAATACTAGGCCCGTTGGCTTTCCCTCAGCACAAGCTACTCTTACCTCCCTGGCTCCTGGTGTCCCACAGGTCTCCAACCTCCTTTCTTTTTCCAGGCTGCATCCTCCTTCCTAAGCCCCTTCTTCCAAGCAGCCCTCCCAGCACAAGGCTGAACACACAGCTGAGCAAAGATAGCAGGGGCACCCCCTCTCCCTTCTGGGGGCCCAGCCTCCCCACGGGTCCACTTCCCTTCCCCGGGGTCAGCCGAGCCCTGGGGGTTGGGCCACCCCCACAAGCTTACTCACCCTATAATAAGCCAGCAGGTTACATTTTGTTCTCCTTAAATAAACTTATAGAAACATGTAAATATTTATTTCATTCATAAGTTCCCAGGAATGCACAACAGTTTCCTATCTGCCTGGGTGCGAGGATAAATATAGGCCAGTGTCAGAAGGGAATAGCATCTTCCTTTCCCTGGTGTCACGTGACCGGGCCTGGGCTAGGAAGCTCTAAGCAACAGCCCCAGCCCCTGCCCCAGCCCCTGCCCCTGCCCCTGCCCCTGCCCCAGCCCCTGCCCCAGCCCCAGCCCCTGCCCCTGCCCCAGCCCCTGCCCCAGCCCCTGCCCCAGCCCCTGCCCCAGCCCCAGCCCCAGCCTTAGCCCAGCCCCTGCCCCAGGCCCTGCCCCAGGCCCTGCCCCAGCCCCAGCCCCAGCCCCTGCCCCAGCCCCAGCCCCAGCCCCAGCCCCAGCCCCAGCCTTAGCCCAGCCCCTGCCCCAGGCCCTGCCCCAGCCCCAGCCTTAGCCCAGCCCCTGCCCCAGCCCCTGCCCCTGCCCCAGGCCCTGCCCCTGCCCCAGGCCCTGCCCCTGCCCCAGGCCCTGCCCCTGCCCCAGCCCCTGCCCCAGCCCCAGCCCCTGCCCCAGCCCCTGCCCCTGCCCCAGGCCCTGCCCCAGCCCCAGACCCTGCCCCAGCCCCAGCCCCAGCCCCAGCCCCAGCCCCTGTCCCAGGCCCTGCCCCTGCCCCAGCCCCAGCCCCAGCCCCTGCCCCTACCCCAGGCCCTGCCCCAGGCCCTGCCCCTGCCCCAGGCCCTGCCCCTGCCCCAGCCCCAGCCCCAGCCCCTGCCCCTGCCCCAGGCCCTGCCCCTGCCCCAGGCCCTGCCCCTGCCCCAGGCCCAGCCCCTGTCCCAGGCCCTGCCCCTGCCCCAGCCCCTGCCCCAGGCCC